AAAGTATAATCAATCGTTGTTTGTTATGAACTATGAAGTAATGTGCAAGGGCATGTAACTAGATGATTGTAGTCATATTGGTTGAAGTTAATTGTAATGTGAGTAACAACTAAAGCCAACCTGGACAGCATTTTCATGAGGATTCTCTTACAAGTATTATTAGTGGGTAGTACTAATGATAAAGAATTACGGGGAAAAGAGTTGTAGTTTCTTCTAATATGAGAAGAAAGTGGAAAGAAACACCATAAAGATTGGTCCAATTCTGAAAAGAGCGGCCTACAACACGTGCTTTGCCAAAGTTTTACCAACAAAGATTCATTTTTCAATGTGGCATTACATTTCATCCAGACCATAGAATCGATCAACGGTCCTGAATTCTCTAAATCCTCCACCCTTGAATCATCCCAACAAATTAAAGGTACTCCTGCTATAAATTCAATAGAGCTTCTTTGCCATGACAATCACAAGAGAGTACACTACTAAATTCTTCTCTGAACTTGAGGTTTCCTTTTGTGTGATTCGGAGAGAAAAGAGGTATGGGAGGCAACAACAGGCTACATCAGCAGCAGCAGCAGAAGAAGTCCTCTTCTGCCTTTGCTCTTTTCAACATCTTTAAAACTAAGAGGTCGCGGAAAGTTGAAGACTCGTATGATGGCTCAATTAAAGCTTATAAAGTGTGGCCTAGCGATGAAGACACAGGCCGTTGGGTAGCTGAGCCGGGTATTGACAGGAAAGCTTCTGCTTACATAGCCAGGATCCAGGCTGCAACTCGATATGTCTCAGAAACATAAGGACATGCTGCAGCAGTGTCCATTTAGAATAGTGTGGTTCCATTTCTACATTTGTTAAGTCTCATACATTGTAATCTAGTTTAAATTGTGATTTCTAGTTTCTGAATTACAAGAAATGAAATGAATAATGTGAGTATATTTGTTTGTGCTCAAGCTTGTTATGCATCACTATTATGTTGGCGTGTGTATGCTCCAATTCTCATTCTTAGGAATTATATTACTACAATTTGTGAGTTAGCTCAAGTAATGCTTTTGACAAGAGGGACAGTGCCTAAGAAATTGTTGCAACAATGGTACAGTCTTGTCAAGCTAATAACAAGTTATTTCTTCGGCATGTCTTGTGATATGAAAGATGCCTCTGATTTTGGACCCTAAAAATTCCGATGAAGAAGGGTGGTGGTTGCTTCTGCGAGCCTTATTGTAAAGTTGTACATATAGCAAACCTTTCCCTTTTTGGCATTTCAGTGTCTAACAACCCCACTTTTCTCTTCTTTTCTTCTGCAATTCCTTTTTTTAGCTTAGTAATTTTATTTCAGAGTTCATGCTTGGCAAATGATAATGGTAGACAGTAAAGAAAAATGAAAGGAGAGGAAGGAGTTAATGAGCTTCCAATGAGCAAAGCCATTTTCAAACCTAGATGACCAATCCCAAACTGACCCTAGAACCTAATTAGTCCATATTGTTGGTTATAATATAAAATATATAATGGAATTAATTCTGTCATTAACATGCTGAAATCAAGAATAGAATGGTCAAGTAATTTTTATTTATTTATTTTGGGTACAGTCAAGTAAATTCTATTGGCAATGGTTGTTTTATGACAAATTGAATAATACCACTCTATACCAATTCATGCAAGTAAATGTTCATTTTGCATTTTATCTGAAACCATTTGAGATCACTCACACAGAAACCAATAGAGATGACCACCACAGGGGTATTGTTTGGCTATCACATTTATGAAAACATTGGCTTGCTCATGACGGGGTTAAGTCCCGCAACGAGCGCAATCCTCGTGTTTAGTTGCCATCGTTAAGTTTGAAATTGTAAACAGACTGTCGGTGATAAGCCAGAGGAATGTGAGAATGACGTCAAGTCATCATGCCCCTTAAAAATTACAACAACTAATGAATATAAATCAGTGTAAAAATATCAAAGAATCAAAAGAAACCTCATATAGCAATTTCAGTAATAACTCAGGATTCTCTCTTGTATGTCACACTTCTTTCATTTCCTTTCTGAAATTTTCACCTCTTTGAACATTGATATAGATACATACATAGCCGAGGAGGAGGTCATTAGTAATTCCAAGCTAAAGCCTAATGTTATGTTTGGGATTACGGAATCGGTGCTTTGGATTTGGAATTGGAGAAAATTTAGTTTAAACTTTGTACTAAAATTTCTCCAATCCCCAATCCAAGGTGCCGATTCAATACTGCTAAACATAGCAAAAAAGTAATTGCCTATAATAAAGTTGTTAAGTGAAGTTTCTTTTTAAAGATCCTTCTTTATAAGTTCCTCCTTTCTGATGGTTGTAATTAACCATGTGATTTGTTGAACAACTAATGGCCCCTCAAATTTCATTTTATGCTCCTTTATGAACTGTCTTTTTTTAGTTTCACTTTTATTTTTTCCTTTAGTGTGGAATGCTTTTGGACTTTATTCAAAATTGTGGAGCAATTAAACGAAGGGAGTTCAAGAATGCTATTGTACTTGTCTAAACTTTTGTTGTATTCAGATTTCTTCCTCTACAAAGGTCAAGTTAGAAAATTTAAAGCAACAACTATTAAGAACTTTTCATGTACTCAGACTATTGAACAGCGAAAAAAAACTGACAACCTGACATATTTACTCACGTGTCAATTTTTATTGGCCGTGTAATAATTTCTTGAAAAAATATCCCATTTGCTTGTCAGCTAAGAACCATAGAATTTTATTTGGAATCTTGGAAAATCAGTAATACTTGGTCAAAATTATTACCAACAATGTCATAAACTATATTTGTTTGACCAATATGTGGGATTGCTCTGATGGTAGGGTTTTACAAAATGCATCACACACCTTTATAGTTTTGTACAAAATTGTTTCCATAACTTGGGAGAACTATTTTCAAAGAATTGAATCAAACATGCCTCTGGTTTAATTTTTTTGTTTTTGAAATTTTATTTATTTATTAATGTTACAAATTTAAATATCCAATATCGATCCTGCCAATTTAGAATATTGAACAAAAAGATTGGAGACAAGCTTAACTTATGTTATATTTGAAAATATCAAATCTCGCTCTAAATTAGAATTGAAAGAAATTTAATTAAAATCTTTTTCTAAGAAATAAATTCATGCTCCTAAACATATCCAAGAGGCCCACTATTCTGGGCTAGTTGTGAAAACAAAAGGCCCACTTTTCTCAGAAAAAGGTCTTTGGATTATGGGCCCAAAAAATAACAAAAGAACATGACCAGCCCGTTTGCGAACGCTCCTTCGCATTCAAAATTCGAACACAGAAACTGTGTTGGTGTTTGCTGTTCTTCATTATGCCTCATACAGTATTTCTGTTTTCTGATTTTCTGTTTGGTTCTCGGGAATCGAAATTTTTTTTTTTAAGGAAAGAAATTCCTTTCGAGATTTTTCTTCTCATTTCCCCGTCTTTCTCCGTAGCCAAACGGAGCTTGAAGAAGTCACTGTTCCCTTATCTCTTTTACTTGTGAGTCTGATGTGTTAATATATATTTTTTTCGATAAATAACTGATTTGTTAACATTGCATCTTCTAATTCGTTTATTTATTTATTTTTTATTTAATAGTATGTATTTGCAAACCGTGAGGTGTTCGTTTTGCAGGGGGAAAGAAGATGAAAGTCAAAGTCTTGCGTATCCTTTCTCATGATATTTGTTCCTCTGCTCAATAAATAAATATGCAGCTGTATGTGTATGTGTGTGTATATATACTTTTGATATTGTTCTTGTTGTTAGCTTATATTCCTGATTTTTTTTTTTTTTTTTTTAAAAAACTGATTGGATCATTGTGTGGTGGGAGGATTATAACATCTTGTTACTTGTTGGGATGAAGATAATTTTTTTCCCCCAATTGAGTGAAATAAATGAATTTGATGTACCATATGTCTCGTGATTCTAAAATTATTGCAGAAATTCCTCACTTTTGCATATAAAATCCAAATTATCGCTAACCCCCCAAAAAATAAATTTTTTTTAAAAAAAGAATATAAATCTATCGTCTACGGTGTTATTTCTGGGTTTTGTTTGCAATGGTCCTGAATATTAGGAAATTTTCTAAATTGTTTGTAATATTGCCCATGTTTCCTGTATATAGCCTAAGAATGATGGCGTTTTCATTTCTCACCCTCAATCTCAAATTATTTATTAAATTTAATCCACATTTTTAATAATTATCTAAAATCTGAAATATTTGAGTGCAAAATGGTTAGAATCCTAAATTGGTCACTTCGATGGGTTAATGCAATTTCATGTTTACGTGATTTTTGGTTCCCATCCATGATACATAATGATTGAGAAATCCAAGAAGGCCAAGGACTTCTTTTTTATGACTTAAATTGATATTTTCTAAATATATTTTCAATTACTTTTGTATTTAGTATTCTGGTTTGGTTTTGTATTTGTATTCTCTATGTTATATATTGTTATGAGTACTTGGTGACTTATTTAGGAAATCTCATATCTGCAACATTAAGGCGAGTTTGTTTGTTAATAAGAGGAGTCACATATTGTTCACCATTCATATATTCAAACTTCATTAAATCATTTACTGCAAATGCAACATATGCTTGAGTTCTTTGTAAAATCTGTTTTATTTGGTACGAGTACTCTGTGAGTTATCTTGAAAATCTCATTTTTGCAACATTGGGGCGAGTTTATTGGTTAGTAAGAGGAGTAAGATCTTGTTTGTTATCCATATATTCAAACTTTTTGAAATCATTTATTGCAAATGCAACATATTTTTGTGGTTTGAGTACTCGGTGACTTATGTAGTAAATCTCATTTCTGCATTATTGGGGGCGAGTTTATTAGCTAATAAGAGGAGTAACATATTGTTTTTCATTCATATATTCAAACTTCTTAAAATTATTTATTGCAAATTGTTTGTACGGAAAAATCAAATGCAACATATTTTTGAGATCTTTGTAGAAACAGTTTTCCATTAACCTTCTCCTTTATGAAACACTGTTGGGCTCATGACCAGAGTATGTCCTTTAATCTCTTGTAAATATTGCTAGTTTCTTGATCTTTTTAATATGGTAGGGAACTGTAATATTTTGCTATTCTATTACGTATAGGTGGCATGCTGTTGCTTCATGGACTTGGGATGCGCAGGATGAAACATGTGGGATCTGTAGGATGGCATTTGACGGTTGTTGTCCTGATTGTAAACTCCCTGGAGATGATTGCCCGCTTAGTAAGTTACTGGCTTCATTTATGAAATGTCTTACGACATGTCTTGTAAATGTTGGTATATTTTCTTGCATAATTTCTCATTTATGTATGTGTGAGTTTTAAAATATCAGTGTTCTTTAGATTGCATCCGAGTCATGCTTTGTGAAAATTTCTCATTGAGTTTTCAATGGTGTATGAGGCATGACAAATGCTTTGGGGATCAATTTTAGTTGCCATATTTGAAATTAAGCTTCACAACTTGTGTTGCCTTGTGCAATTACCATGAGATGAGCTTCAAAATGTGTTGCCATTGATCCTTGAAGAAATGCGACATGACTAAAAATGATTTTTTCTTAAGAACATTGTTCTACTTCTCTTTACTAAGTAGTTCCTCGACATTTGGCTGAAGTGCGTGGTCTCTCAGCCTCCCGTGCAATTTCATACTTTTTGTAAAAGTAATCAACCTGATTCAATATTGGAAAATACATATGATTTGTCATTAGTTGCTGGTGTATAGCTCTTTAATTGTTTATGATGTATCCTTTTATTAAGTGTATGTTTTATAGATTTATACTAGGCTTAAATAATTTTTATAGTAATATAAAGTTCCTTGAAAGAAGCTTTGATTGATTTATTGTTTTTCTTACAGTGTGGGGTGCATGCAATCATGCGTTTCATCTTCATTGCATCTTGAAATGGGTGAATTCGCAGACAACTCAAGCGCATTGCCCTATGTGTCGTAGGGAATGGCAGTTTAAGGAATGAAATCAAACTGTATGAGTCTCTCGTTGTGTGTGCATGTTTTAGAAGTGTGCTGCTTAGACTCAAAATCAGGTGGCGCGTTCACTCTAGATTTTCCTATCATTTGTTAACATTGTTTTATGGTCAAATGACTTGATTTGGTCTCTTCAAAATTTTCATATTCATTCCATATCTCTGTGTATATACCATTCATATGGGATAAAGCAATGATTGGAAGCTCTATGCATGCTTTTTATGTACTAGATATCATGAATTCTTCTCCAGATTGTCTGGATTATATGACACTACTTTTAACATGAAGTGAATTGTGAAGGTATCCTTTATTAATTTTGTGACCTAAAATGAGCCCTTGTGCGTTTACAGTTGGTACGGTATTGATAATCATTGTTTGAATATGATCATCTCTAGGATGAGTGAGGAGCCATCTTTTATGTATTAGGTTAGGTCCACCAAGTCATCAAGCTGGTTCATTTGTTACATGTGACTTTGATTGCATTATTGCTTCATGTGTTCAAAGATCAAAAGTACCACCACTCAATTTTTATCAATTTATGTGTGGTGATGTTTGTGTTTGTCATAATCTCTGTCAATGAAAATTGGCCTCTTTCCAAGTTTGTGGTGCCCATTCTTTTTCCATTAGAACAATGCACTTTCTAGTCATGCAATCATGAATTTTTCTTGGTTCATCGTCCCATTTCTTGTAATCAACAGGGTTATGAAGAACCTACTATGTATATACTTAGAGCCTTTATCACATCAACATTTCAAGCATTATGTATTAAGATCCATAACATTTTCTGCTTGACATTATTATGGAAGTGAAAGTACCTGATTCACTGATTCAGTGACCTTTATTTTGTGCACATTCCTTAGTTCGCTTCACAGTCAACACACATTATTTGATTCAACCATGTCCTTGGACTCCTTATCCTCAGCTTGTACAGTTCAACAATTTGGATACACTGTATAATTTTCACTATAACATAGAACAGTTTTACGTCGTGCAAATTTTGTCATAGAAAATGGTATATAATTTGTATTGCAGACGCCCTAAAAGCCTATCTTGTAAAGAGCCACCAAATACTAAACACCATCAGTATCTGGAATCGACATGGATTATTGGTGACTGGTGAGACAAGAAAGCATATATAAGAGAAAGAGAGAGTATGGATAATGTTAGTCAAGTGTATCTTTCAAAATCTAATGCTCCAGATCAAGATTGCCTTTATCAAAGCAGTCACCAAATGCAAAAAGTACATGACATTGTCTCATAGTTGAGTCCAGCACGAAAGCTTGTCAACCAATTCCATCAACACTAGGCAAACTCATTGAAGGAACGAAAATTATCTGAGTGCAACACACAGTAAAAGTCATAATGACACACAAAACAATTAAAAAGTTCTTTCGTATGACCAGTACTCACAACACCAATAAACAAACCATGTATACACTCAGCTAAAACGAATAAAATGAAAAAGAAAACAATCTTCCTATTTTGAACAATATTGAACAAAGCACAAGTAACCAACAACATCACATAATAGAGCTGAATCAAATATTATCTCACACTAAAATGAGTGAAAATTCCAAGTTTTTAGTCATTTTATTTGACTTTAACACCAACCTTAGTCACGGAGGATATTGATTTGAGAGTGGAGATTTCCAATGATAGCTTTCTTTGCCTTCACGCGTGTTTGCTTCACCTTTGCTACAATGTTGTTTAATAGCTTTTGAGTGGGTTTTGCGGAAACCTCCTCTTCAGGAGAGTGTTGGGATGTATTTTGTGTCATCACCATTCTTGGTAGAAGACTAAGGAATTGGAACATCAGGTTTTGCAGCATCACCAACTTCCTTTTCATTCTCCTAGTTTGTTTCACCAGTTTTTGCAGTTTCCTTTCCTTTTACTTCCTTTTCATCCACCTCTCCCCCAACCTCTCCATCTTTGTTTGTTTCAGGAGAAGCCACTGTGTCGCTTTTCACGTTTACTTTCCCATTTTCAGCAACAAGTTCAGTGTCTCTAGAAGAAGCACTCTCTACATTCAAATATCTTTCAATGACCTCCGTAGTGGAAATGGAATTCACAACTTCAACTTTCTTTGTTTCAGGCTGATTCAATTACTCAGGTATGACTTCTTTCTCTTCAATGTTTTCTTCTGGTTTTGCATCCTTTGCTTCATCATTTACAGACTTCGTGACTTCCTCTTTTGACAACTCTTCAACCACAATGGCCTTTCTCTGTATCCTATGCAGCAGCCTTTTCTGTACATCCCTTTCTATTTGCTAAATCAACTGGAGCTCCCTCTGTGGTTGAAGAAACTTGATCCAAAGTTTCGGTTACAAGAGGTTCCTCTTTAGGGGTTTGTTCATCCTTAAATAATTAGGTATCTTCAGCCTTTTCAACCAAAGTCCCTTCAATTTTTGGCTAATTCAACCTCTACACTTTCCTTAGGATCAACTTCTGCACATTCTTTCTCAACTGGTTCAGAAACTTTAGATTGTTGTGGTTTTTCATCTTCTTCAGCAACTGATCCTGAATTTCTTTTTGAGACTCTGCTTCTGATTCTTTGACGGGTGAAACTTCATCTGCAAAAGATTCAGCTGATGATTTGGTTACATCAACTATCTTGGGATGTTCCTTTGTTTCTTTAATTTATTCCTTTCTAAATTCTACTTCTAAATTTTCTTCATCTTTTACTTCTGCTTTCGACTCTTTGATACATAAGACTTCCACTTCCTCCTCTTTTTCCTTGGCGGCCTCACCTGACTGTTCAAAAACATCAACTACCTTTGGCTGCTCCTCTGGCTGTTCCTCAACAGACTCCATTGTTGGTTCTTCTTTGGGTTGTTTTTCAGCAGACTCGGTCTCTTGTTGTTCCTCTGGTTGCCTTTTTCATGCCGGTCGCTTACTGGTTCTGAAACACTTGACATGTGTGATTTAGGAATGGAGTCTTGTGCCTCTTTAGAAGTATCTTCAACTGGGATATAGATAGCAGTAGTATCACCACTCTTCTTCTTCACCTCTTCAACAACAGGAGGCTCAATCTGCTTATTCTCGATCTATTCTTCCAGTTCAGCTAATAGGGGTTGCGAGTGCTGGACTTGGTGACTCCTTGCTCCTCAGATGTAGGCTTTTCTTCCTCTCCACTATCATATTCAATTGTTTTTATTTCTTCACTTGCCTTCTTGTCAACTTCCTGCAGCAATTTAAGATTGATCAGCATCCAAGTAGAAGGAAAACACCCACATATAAAATTGGTGCCATTCTTATTGAATGGAAATTGGGAAGTGTAAAGAATGCGGCAATATTATTTAACCATAACAAAAGCATGATGAGTACTGATTTTATACTCCTCGTGGTATCTCAATTTTCAATATTGATAACAAAAGCATGATGAGTACTGATTTTATGATTCATGTTAATTTTATTTATTTTATTGATATCTATTAGTTTCAATTTTATTTAGTTGTGTAGTATTTGATTTTAAGTAAACAACAACACTAAAATTTAATATTTTTTCTTTAGGGTGAGATGTTCTTCCATTTTTTAAGTACAAAATATTTAGTATTGAGGTATGGGAGAAAACTAAAAGCTTTTTTGAATGATTTTGTTTAGCTTACAGTGCCCTTCCTTTTCTATTTGCACATACCGATCCTGCTTACCCCAACTGCGCTTATATGAATAAGCGATTCACTGTCTGGTCTAAAGATTAATAGAGAGATATGTGGCAGAAAGAGAAGAAAATGAATACAGATCATGCATGCTGAAATCAGTATCACTGTTGGATCAACTCGATGTTGTGTTCCCCCGGCGTGAAACCAGTTGGTTGAGAAAGACCTTCTTTCTGATCGTAACCGCCCTTTGAAGAGAAATAACAAAGTGTGGATTGATAAAAATCATAAGTTTGAACTCGGTTCTCATCACCGCCTTTTAACTTTGATTTGAACTCTAATCTGTAAGTAAATATTTTTCAAAATTCCATAATTATGACTATTAAAACCATTTACTTCTATTGACTAATGAAAGAGTAGAATAAAGTGTGTTGAGGGTCGTATTCAACAATTCCATCTACTTCTAGATTAAAAATAATAATAATAATATCACAAACTCTGCTTGATTTCAATCTATGATAAAATCTTTTTTTTTTTTTTTTTTTCTTAATTGGTACCATACACATTTGGATTCTTTCATTTTTTAATGTAAAGATTATTTCCTATCGGAGTACGTTCACCTACTCCGCCAAATACAGATACACTCCATGAGCTTTGGCACTATTGTTAATGAATTCCATAATGAATACTGTTTTACCCCTCGTCCGAACAGTACAGTTATTCCTCCACTTCTGAAAGATCTCTACTTTAATTCATGTTTCAGCAATATATATTTATATACTAACTAGATCGGAAAAAAAAAATAAAAAATCTAAATAGGTGTAATGGAAATGGGATTCCAGATGATAAATCTTGAAACCAGACATTTTCCACAGTAAACAAACGAAACTAGATAGTTCGATCAAATTGAATTTTTGTTTTGACTAAACAATTATGGATAAGTTGACAATTTTCCTGCTTATAGTTTTGCACATTTTTTGTTATTACTATGGGTCTTAATGCACAAGGAGATTTTACTTGTTTTTCTCAATTAGAGGTCCGTGGACTTTTGTTGCTCTCCATGGCACTTTCGGACTAATAGGTTTCATGTAAGGGTCTATACTGTTAAACCACTGACATGTTGGTAATCATGCTGAAATCTTACTAATATAAAAACGAAGACTTAATTGAGCACTTATATAAATTAATATATAGTACACATAACAAGAACTGCAACTAAAGAAATTAAATAATACATTAATGCTATGTTTGGCTGCACTGAATCAATGCTTTGTATTTTAGATTGAAAAAAATTTAATATAAAATTTGAACTAAACGGCACCCCCAAACATAACATAAGGGTAGTATTAGGCATGTAAATTGGTCTAACACTTAACATGGGTAGTATTAGACAATTAAATTGGTCTAACACTTAACATAACAGTCTCACTAGCCATGGATGGATTCAAGACCAAAAAAAAAAAATAGAAGAAGAAAAAGAAGAGAACTCTCATAAAAGCATCTTCAATGCAAAATGCAATATTTTCATGCCAAATCTATATTTTGAGGGGAGTTACAATGTCAAAATGCTATATTTTTACAATTATGCTCCAATGGTACATTTCATCCAAAATGTTATTTTTTAACATAACAATCATTTCATGTTTTAAGAGTCCATTGGATGAGGTCTTTTGAGAGTCCATTGGAGTGCCTTATTT